GGGTGGGCTGGGGGAGGGCATGGAATCCACAGAGCCATTTTCCAACCTTAAACAAAAACGTGGGCTTGGAACCAAGGAAGGAGACATCACTGCCCGACATGCAGATTCCTGCTGGAAACACAGTCCTGGGGCCAGGGGTGCCCATGCAGAGGGGTGGGAGCACGGAGTCCACGTGTGGAGCTTCTGACTTTGCTTCCAGCTGGGGCTGCGGCTGCAGGGCTCACCCTGAAGACAAAATTACTGCGAGACTCGGGTGAAGTGTGTCAGTGGAGAGGAAAACATCCAAGCCTCCAATGTGTCTGATGGTTTTAGTGGGGAGGCTGAGAGATCAGGAGAGAATGCCAGAGGTAACAAACTGAGCTCTTTCCAGGTACAGTCGTGTGCAAATCATCTGCCAAAAATGCAAAACGAGATCATAATCCTAAATTTGTCCTTTAAGTGTACCTGTACCTGCTCTGTAGTGGTTTCCTCCTAATCACCAGGGATTAATTCCGAAGTGCATTGAAACATCTGAGGTGAAGGGGCACAGTGGAATTCCTTGCAGGCTGCTAATAATAACAGAAAGCCTTTCTGTGCAGCAAACCTGAGGCTGACTTGGTTTTTAATGGACATCTGTCTGCAGGGGGAAAAAATGCCATGGCAACTGGCTTTCTTGTTGGCACGCCTGTCTCAGCAAAAGGATGGGGAGAGGATGGGTATTGAAGGGTCTGCACTGCAGTGCTTAGGAAGTGGGGAGGCACAGCTCGGTGAAGCTGTGAGGCAAAGGTTGTTTATGCTCCATGAACACCAGATCTGGAGGGATTTAAGAGCTAAGTCTTGGCATAACGATTGCTTTGTCTGCTGCTGCTGAGCAGGAGTTAGACTTGATTCTCCACTTCCCTTTGTGAAAATGCTAAATCTACTCGTAGAGGCACGAAGCCCAGGGCTGGGGGCTGCTAGGCAGTCTGCCCACGGTGCTGGGGCACAGCTGGGGTCTCCCAGTCTGAAGCTCCATCCCAAAACAGTGCTGTGGGGCTGCAGTGATTGCACAGATCCTGCCTCTGGGCAGGGAGATCCCTTAAATGGTGATTGTGGCCAATGGAAGCTGAGAGCAGGATTCATTAAAATGCCCTGTCCAAAGAAAGGCAATGAAGCTGTGAAGGGACTGGAACATAGGTCTTATGGGGAGCAGCTGCGGGAACTGGGATGGTTCAGTCCAGAGAAGAGGAAGCTCAGGGGTGACATCAATGCTCTCTACAGCTCCTGAAAGGACTGTAGGGTCATTCTCTTCTCCCAGGTAACAGCATGAGGACAAAAGGTCATGGCCTCCAGCTCAACCCTCAAGGAAGGGTTAGGATGGGTAATAGGCAACATTTCTTCTCTGAAAGCAGTCAAGCCTTGGGTCCGGCTGCCCAGGGAAGTGATGGAGTCACTGACCTTGGAGGTGTTCAAGAAATGTGGAAATGTAGCGCTGATGACATGGTTCAGTGGAGAAGGCTGGGGTTGCACTTGGTGATCCTAGAGATCTTTTCCAGTCATAATGGTTTCATGATTCTATATTGGTTATGGATGAAACAAGTTGTGGCACTTGTGCACATCAGACCCAAACACTGTGGCTGTTTGTGCTTTCCTTCACCTCCCATGAGTTGTGGGGAAGCAGTTGCATGCATGGCTCAGCAGCATGTCTGTCCTCTGTAGCACGAAGGGAGCTGGAGGAAGGTGTTGGTGGGTGACAGAAATTGGGAACAAGTCATTATCGAAGTGCAAAGTGTGGATCAAAAAATACGTTTGCTGGAAGCTGGTATCTCCTTGCAGCCAAGCTGTGATTTTGAGGGACTGCAGGCGACACAAAGCCAACGCACAGCAGAAGCAGCAGAGGCTGCCTCTCCTGCATGCTTGGAGCTCGGGCTTTGCTCACAGATGTGTGTGTACCTAATTCTGGCCTGGCCAGTGGTGCATTCATCAATTACAACTGATTGCAGCTTTGCTGACTAGCTGATACCGTATCTCTCTGGGAAGCACTCCTCATTTGTTGGAGTACCTGATTTGTTTTTCAAGCGCCTGGAGATTCCCATGCCTATAAGTATTGTTGGCAAAGCTTTTGCCTCTAAGAACAGGTTTTGTGGTAATGGATAAATAAAAGAAGTCTTCAGGGAAAAGAAAACGTGTAGAAATACTCAGGACTGCGCTGTTCTAACGGCTGATTTTGCATAACATGAATGTCAAGCACTCGTGCTGGCCGTCCCTCCGTAGGCACGCATGTTTCACCGCACTGAACCTCGGGAAGCACGCGGTGCCTTGGAGCAGTTCTGTCAAGGAAACATTGCATCATGCAGCACTTCCGGGGAAGCAGTGATGTTATCGGGCTCGTTAATCTTCATGTGCAAACACAGCTTGCATATGCAGGCACAAAACTGAATGAAAATAGCGGTCTTGAAGAAGACCAGCTCTAACCTGGAATGTGAACGGGAAGGGTGACATAGGATGTGATTCTCTATTAGAAAGAGTTGCTTTTGTTTCTTGGCTGTGGAGCAAGTAATTCTGAACGTTGATTTTTTTTTTTTTTTACAGCTAAAGCACTGCATCAGAACAAAAAAAAAAAAAAAAGGGAAAAAATCAATAGAGACAAATCATAAAATAATAAAAATGGAGTAGTGGGAATTGCTGGCTATCAAAAGGCTGTGTGCAGGGAAAAGCCAACACCAAGGGGAAGGACGCTGTGTGCAACGACAGCAGTGTGATCCCGGTGCTCTGCAGGTGGGGCAGCTCACAGCAGGAAGCTGCAGAGTGGCACCAGCACTGGCATGGCACCATCAGCCTCTGAGGGATCCAGCACCTGACTCAGCTCTCGGTGGGTGAAATGGAGTCCCTTCAACCTGGTCACTGCTGTGCTTGCTTCTGAGTGAAGATGCTCGACAAGCAAAAATGGGAGGGCACAATGGAAGCCAGAGCTTAGCAAAACAAAGAATACATTGAAGGAGAGAACAAGTCAAACAGCAACTGTGCTTGAGTCATTGCTGCAGATACCAACACGAGAGTCTTATTCATGCAGTCACTCTCAAAGGACATAATGTTACCCCAAAATCTAAGTTAGTGTGTTCATATCTTGTCTTAGAAACTGTCTCTGGCCATGGAACTTGCTTGTACCAATCACATCCATGGACACCAGGGACTTTGTCTGCCTGCAGGACCCTGCAGCATGGCTGCATAGCTCTGTAATGGTTCTTAACCTTCATCAAACACAGGGACTGATTGTTGCACACTGTAATGTGCTTAGCTGAAAAAGCATTACAATTACTTCCTTTCCATTAAAAAACAAACAAACAAAACCAAAACAACCTCAAGGGACGTGGATTTGTTAGAGCCTACTATCAGACTTCCTTGTGCATTCTGGGAAATTTGTTTTATCAACTGAAAAAAACAGATGAAACACACTGCAGAATACAGAGCCCTCTCTACCTGTAGCTCACTTGGATTCATTTCAAGATGCTTTTGGGACCTTCACCTTCCCCACCTGCTGCACCTCTGCTGCTTTGGTGGCAATTTGAGGCCATCTGTTTGAGCTCCATTGGGATAAACCTAACAACACAGATGCTTGCTGAAATGCAGTTTTGCGTGCTACTGGATTTCATACCTACATATAATTTACTGTTATAATTAAATATAACATATACATCATGTATTCTTTTTCCTAAAAGTTGTTTCTTCACTTTTTTAAGGTAGTGTAGTGATCCTGTTATGTACAGTGAAACAGACGGCTGCCTTTGCAGTAAGTAGTTCTAGAAGTGCTACTGGCTGTCCTCACCTCTGCACACACTGCTGTTTCCTGCAGAACTCCTCAATGTTCTCTCCCAGTTCTGTGGCTGGGCAATAGCAAATCGTTTTGCACATTCACTAAACTTCCCTAAAGCTGCCGGCGCAGTTTTGGACAGATATTTCAATGGAGTAATGCTTTGTGCTGGCATCTGTCATTTTGCTCATAAGGTGTTAACCACAGGGTTATCCGGGCCTGGAAGGTGAAACAAAACAAGGAGTTTAATAGTCAAAAGCGCAGGGATGATGCTAATTGAAGAAAGCTGTTGAATATTGTTATCTTTTTACCACCGTGCTGCCACCCACGGCTTTTAGCCGCATGGGAGAACTGTTGCTGTGCAAGCAAGGTGTACGAACGCTGCCCGCCCAGCAGGATCGCTCCTTCTCACTGCATCCGAATCCTGCGGGACTTCCAGAGCATCTCTACGAATAGATTAAAGTCCGAGCACTTTGAGTAACCACGGCTATAAATCAATTTCGCTCTCGGTTTTTCAGGTTACAGCCGCTCTTACTAACCCAGCGCGCACACGGGCTTTTAACAGCGATGTATCATATCGGTGCTCGGCGCTAAAAGCACCTCCGAAAGCAGAGCGCGTACCAGCGTGACGCCAGAGCCGGGTGCCTGCTCCGCTCTGATTTCTGCATTTCAGATTCACGTTTTCCCGATTTCTCCTTTACAACGCCTGTATTTCCCCACTTTAATTCCCGCACATGCCAGATCCGCACCTCAGCCACGGCTCCCCTCCACCCCCCTCCTCCTCCTCCTCCAACCCCCTCCTCATCCTCCCTCTCCTCCTCCTCCTCCCTCTCCTCCACCACCAGGCCGCACCGCGCGGGCGGAGCCGCTCCCCTCAGCAGGGCCCTCCCGCGGGCGGCGCTGGGAGCGGAGCGGGGCGGGAGCGGCCCTACACAGAGCGCAGGGCCCGGCGCCGTCCGCCGCCGCCTCACGTGTCCGCCGCTCCCCCGCCTCCGCCCCTTCAACCTAGCCGCAGTACCGCCGCGCTCCTTCCGACTTCCCGTAAAGAGTCCGCGCTTCGCCCCGCTTCCCCCTCGCCGGGCCCCGTGCTCTCCGCTCCCCTCTCGCGCTCCCCGCCCGCCCGGCTCCCGTCGCCTCGCCCCGCCCGCTTTCCCCGCTCGGCCGTTCCTTCGCTCCGCGCTCCCCCCTCCTTCCTTCCTCCCCCCCTCCTCTCTGCGCGCGGATCCCTCCGCGCCGCGCTCCGCTCCCTCCGCCCCGCACTGTTTGGGAGCAACCGCGGCCGAGAGCGAGAGAGGGGAGAGAGAGACAGAGGCACGGAGACACAGAGCAGCGCTCCCGCTCGGCGCTCCCGCAGCGCAGGCCCCGGCCCTCGGCCCTCAGCCATGTCCCTCAAGCAGACGGCGGCCGCCTCGCAGCCCGCCGGCAACAACCGCAAACCCCCCGGCGGCGGTGGAAGTGGAGGAGGAGGAGGCGGCGGCCTGCCGTCAGCATCGGGTGGCGGGAGGCAGAACATGGGCAGGTGGGTTCCCCGGGATCGCCCCCCGCCCGCCGCCGCCATCGCCCCCCCCCC